CCATTGCCTCGTGACACAATACTTTGTGCCGGGCACGAGATCAATCTCGTGCCGTACGCCTCGATCCGGTGGGAGTTGGGTCGGTGGGTGTTTATTCACCACGTCCGCATACTCCGTCACCAAAGGATACACCGGATCCTTGGGGTTCTTGAGAATCTCAGAACCCAAGCGCGCCTGACGCTGCTTGTTCATGTCTTCCAGGACGTTCTCGTCCAAGACAGAGGAGGAGTTCAGCTCCTCCTGAGTGGTCTCAGGTCTCATGAGTACCATCTCAGCGATCTCTCCAGCCTTGAGGTTGGCCAGGAAAGACTCAGCCGTCATTTCCTCGAGGTTCAGTATCTCTGCAACCTCTGGCAACGGTTCCAAGTGGACACCAGATGCCTTGACGGGTAAACCCGTCTCGCTATCGAAGATGTGATAACACTCTTCCACCGGCCTTGTCGGAGGAGCCCGGGCCCTGGACTCCGAGTCGCTTGAAGCGACGTCGATCGGAACGAAGTTCGGATCCGACTTGAGGCGGCGGCGGCGTCTTTGCCGACGGCTTCTGTGACGGGGAGCTTTGCTGCCCACGTCTAGGGATGTCGTCGCTACGACATCCGAGGCACTCGTGGCCTCGTGTGGTACTGTTGTACCCACACAGGAAGCGTGTTCAACGCCTTCCTCTTCAGTTAAGGTCTGGGCGACCGCGTGTGGCACTGTGTTACCCACACAGGAAGCGTGTTCAACGCCTTCCTCTTCAGTTAAGGTCTGGGCGACCGCGTGTGGCACTGTGTTACTCACACAGGAAGCGTATCCGACGTCTTCCTCTTCAGTTATGGTCTGGGCGACCGTGAGTGGAACTCTGTTACCCACTCTGAACACGCTGTTCTCAGTGTTCATGACAGCTGCAGCTGTCTGCGGAACTAAGTTACCCGCCTGTGGACCTAAGTTACCCACTTGGCCGGCGCCTCTTCTGGGCGCGGCCACCATCAAAACATCCTCGGAGTCGTCATATACGTCGACGACTCCCAAGCATCTGCCGGATGCTTTGGTACCCTGGCAGCCCTCGCGGGCGCCCCGGGTCCTGACAGAGGTGGGAACATGACTCACCAATGCTCTGTCGGACTGCGCAGGGCGGCTGGCACCGATTGCCTTGCCTCGCCAGTCGATCCAGGGCTCGTGCTTCTCAA